TTCATCATGTGTAAATAAAGGTTGAAACATTCTAAAAAATCATAGTACTTTTATAAATCATTGCAGGGCATATCGTATTTTTGCTTTTCGTATAGTGTGTTCCCGGCTATGCTTAACAAGGAATTTGGACGAAATATCACAGTCATATCATGCTATAGCGATAAGGAGTCATATCATGTTGTAGCTATAATGAGTTAAGTCATGTTAACTACAAGCAGTCATGTTGTAGCGATATTGGATCATATGTTGTAGCTATAATGAGTTATATCATGTAGCTGTAAGAACTCGTGTCGTGTAGCAATAATGAGTTATATCATGTTGTAGCTATATTTCGGCTTTGACCGTGTTGAAGAAGTTTTTCTATATTTTGCAGATGATGCTACAAGGGTAGTACTGAATAAAGTAGACGATGATCCACGTTCAGATTATATAAACGCCAACTTTTTAAACGTACGTTCTATTATAATGACCATTTTGGAAATTGGATTGTGCATTGGATCTGTTTGAAGAAAAACTTTGAATATAAATCTAAATGGTTTTCATTTACGGTTTGGCTCAGTATTGTCTATTACAATTTATATATGTATTAACATTAACTCTAGAGACAAAGTCCAGCGGTTATAGATTTAAAATATTATTTTTGTCTTTCAATACAGGGTTATGATGGAAAAACATTTATTGCTGCTCAAGGTAACAATCTACTTTTTCTCAAATCATGTTGCAATAGTTTGCGTTTGTACATGATACTTGGTTGATAAAATAAATCAGGCCGTGATATTGTATCCATTTTAATAGATACATTTTATAGAAGATATATCAATTCGCAATTTTTTAAGACAAAGCATTGCTTTTGTGTCGGTTCCCTTTTGAAGGTTTATTTAAGTAGAAATTGTAACACATTTACCATATCAAATTGAGAAATCCAATAGAAGATTGGAATCAGGCTGATTACGTACATATGGGGCACTTGTTATTATTTAACATAATTCGGTATTCTATACAGGCGTAACACGAGTAACTCGGAATGATTTCGTACGAATGATCTGGGATATGAAATGTGATAAGGTTGTCATGGTTACTAGAGAATATGAAGATGGAAAGGTAGAGTATTTTAGTAATTGTTATCATTTACTGACGACCACCAGAAAAAATAAATTACCATTCCAAATCGCAATCCGTAATAAATTTCCACATGCTGCCAAATTCATGGGAGAATTCTTAAATTAATCAAGGTGGTAACAGATGACAACAGAAGGAATAAATGCTTCCTTCAAAGTGCGTTAACACATAATATGATAGTGTTCTTATATTATCCATGTAAATAAATACACTAAGCACTGACGATCCGAACCGCAAAACAAATCCAAACAACCGCCCGGCGAAACTTTGATATATTATATGACACTTTTCAGAGAAAATGTGAACGGTACTGGCCATCGGAAGTAGGATCCTCGGAGACGTTTGATGTAATCAAGCTTACATTAACAGAGGAGATTTACCGAGAGAATTATACTAAACGATATATTATTATGGAAAGGGTAGGTACAGTACCCGTGTCACACCAGGGAATGCCCAGAAAAGCCAGTCGCAGATGGGCTAGAGGAAATGAAAACAAAATTGATTTAGTTGCAATGAATTAAGTTGATTTCGTGCAACGGATGCTTTGTCAGGCCTTTGTTGGTACTGATACTTCATTTAAAAATTGGAATTGGAACAATTTGGTGGTTTTGATTTGTTAACTCTCATCGTGAAATTGTCGAATTTCATTTTGTGCATTTTTCATTGTAGGATGGGATGACACACAAGTTCTGTCACTTCCATTACACCAGTTGGCCAGATCATGATGTACCTGAGATCAATGATATGTTAGATTTCCAGTTTACAGTTGATAAATTTAAACCAGAATTTAAAAGTCCTTTACTAGTTCATTGTAGGTGGGTATATCATTCTTCTAAGTTTGAATGGTGAAGATGCCAGCGATCATCTGGACTTGGGACACTAAGTTGTCATGGTTTAGATATGTCTCAAATCCTCAAAGGTTATTTTTACCACAGTTCG